ATACTTAGAGCAAAATCGTTTCAAAATACGTTTTGCAAATGGTCAGAGATGTTGAACATCGTCATTGGAATGATGTACACAGTCTTAAGAGATGCGGACTTTCTTAGACTGGGCTACAAATCCCGCTCGGAGGAGGGTGGGGCCTGCATCACCGGCCGCCGTTACAGGTCTTACAGTCCCAAAGGAGACTGCAACCGACCAGTGCATCCGTGAAGGCTGAGCTCTCAAGTGTGCCAAAAATGCCTATCGTTTCTGCTTACCTTAATGCAAAGTTTGCTATAGATCAAAACACTGGAACACAGTTAGTTTGTTGATGCAATTGCGCGTGAAATGAGATATGCATTGGGGCCAGATAGTGTTCGCCTTTTCAAAATCTCGGAGTTTCTGGCACCACGGCAAACCTCGTCCTACTTCTCACGTCGTGCAGCCAAGACCCGCCAACAACTTCCCAATGATGCCCGCAATATCATGGCAAGCGAAGATGAAGACAACTTTGCTCGGGCAAGGGAAACTGTCATGACCATTACACTTCAACATCTTATCACGTTGGATCGTCTTCGATCAGTATGATATTTGCGCCTTGGCCAAGGATGGATCACTGGAGCGATTAAAACGTGGCATGCTCCAAAACATTTGTCAGAAACTGGAATTAGAGTTGCCACCCGAGCCTATTCGCCGTAAAAGAATCTACCTGGATTTACTTGAACAGGCCATACTAGCGTTGTAAACGGATGAACTCTTTGCTGCTGTAACTGAGGATCATGTAAAATGTTTGTTTCACTGCAAAATTTACTGTTACAGCATATTTTGTAAAGCTGCTCTTAAGAGAGATTGCAATAACTTTATAAGGCAGTGCACATGTTGGATTTCAGTATTAACGAGTGCATCAGAAAACGAATGAGATTGCAACTTCAACAAGTAAGTAATACATGTGCAACACTTTTTTGCCGCCTACAACGACAAGGGCAAATAACGTTTTCAAGAGATGAGATTGTTAGGTTCCACAGTAATTAAATAAATGAGAAGGAATGTCTCCAAATATGGGATCGGAAATTGGACTGTAAA